ATGTTGTTGTTGGACTTAGGATTCTTCTACAGTAGGTGTCTGTGACTTGTTAGCAAAAAATTCAATGATGAATAAACAGCACATATTTTACTTTTTTTCAAATAATAAATATATATATATATTCGTAAAAAGTTAAACGTATGTACACCAAAGTCTTCACACTATAGAGATTACAGGCATATCATAAGCACTATTTATATATAGTTCTCTTCTTCTTGTAAAAAGTCCACTTAGGCCTATTCAATTACTTTAGAATTTCAGTTGAAAAGTCGAACTATCTTCTCTATATTACTATCGTACTAGTATTCTGTGTGTGATTCACTTATTGTTGTGGCACAAGTTACCGTAATTCATTTGGTCTTCTTTCTTCTGAAGATCCTCTGTTCCTTTTGTCAAAGTGTACCCAGGCTGATTCAATTACTTTAAAACCATGCTTTGACGGAATAAAATTATCCTTCTTATCTTGTTTTATACTGTTAGTTTCACTCTAACATATTAAATGTTAGGCCTATCACATCTATGGTACTTAACTTCTATATTCACAGCTATACTCTCTTTTGCTATTATCTGTCTATTGTTGCCTGTCTGCTGTTTCCCACTCATCTCACGCTATTTATATCTTTATTATATAGTCGTCTTGCCACTTTCTATATTCTCGACAACAAATAGTTATTAACAAAACCTTCTACAATTGTCTGCTTTTAACTCTTATTATAACAAAACTTAAAAATAATAAAGTATTCATTCACAAATATAAATTAATCACTAATATTTAAACTAAACAGTCTTTTATATCATGGTAAAAATAAATCACTACTTTATAACTGTTGGTTACCCCAGCCCTAAATTCTCTAGAAAGAAACAAATAATTTATTTATTAAAGCTGTATCCCATCTAAACTTAAGACTGTTGATTACACCAGCTCTAAATTCTCTACAAAGAGTAAAAATAATTATTTTACATACAGAAAATACTTAATCTATCATATATAAAAATTAATAAAATGCATTAAACAAACAAGAAACTAATATTTATTAAATAAACAGCTAAACTACAACAAATATTCTGTATAAACATATTTAATGTTTTTAATAACATTTGCTCCAAACAAAATTGAGTAAAGAAATCCATTAGCAAATTACAACCAAAAATAAATTACCTCAGATTGAAGCTTCTTTTTTGACTTCTCCAGTTTATCATTTAAGGACTGCAATTCTTCTAACTGTCTCTGGAGAGCTTCCAAATCTTTACCCATCTTCTTCCTCTGCTCTTCCAAAGTAGTAGAGAGTTCCTCTGCCTCATCTGCTTTTCTCTTCAATTCTTGCATCTAACAACATAATAAAAGCTCTGAGGATGACAATCTGGTTAATATATGCAGACATTATTATATTTTGTAATTGAAAAAAAAAGAACTAATATCAATCAAAGATGTCCAGTATAATCGTTTATTCAGTGTAAAAACCTTACAGTACAAATAGGAAAAGGTTTTGGTTTACCTGCAGATTCAATGAAGAAACTTGTTTTTCAAAGCTTTTCTTTGCCTCCTCCTCTTCTTCTAGTTGTTCTTGAAGATTATCCCTATCACTCTCCAACTGTCTGAGTTTAGAACTGAGGGCTAATTTCTGTCTTGTCTCTTCTTGTAGAAGATCCTGTAAACAACATTATGTAAAATACTATCTACTGATAGATATTCAATACCAACTTCTAGTTTTCCAATAAATCCTTTACAATAACAGACAGTGCTATCTAGTGGTGAGTATTCTGTACTCATTTCTTTGAGGTCGTCTTTCATAGGATATATTATTCTTACCAATTACCAATAGTTTAATATCAGTTACTAAATATAAATGTTTATGTCAAAGTTAGTAAATTGTGGGATCCAAATGAGAAAGTGATTTTCAAATAATTTGTAAAAAAAAATAGTCATGACTTTTATATATTACTATATATAAAAAGTAACTTAAGAAATTACAATTAAAAAAAATTAATAAGTTAATATCAAGTATATATTTTGAGATGCCTTATCTAATAAAAAATTATTTACTAATCAAGAAAAGCTCTTTTAAATAAATCAAAGCAAAACAAGCACTGTATCAACATGATTTACTTGCTAAGCTTCCACAACAAAAGCGATATATATATATATATATATATATACCTGAGCTTCACTAAGCTGGCTCTCAAGTGTGCTGGTGCTCTTTGCTGCTTGTGTAGTTCTACTATCCATTTCTTCAAGCTGGGAGTTCACTGCTTCCACCTCAGCCTAAAGTAAAAAGAAATCTGTTAAGTTAACCATACCTTTATGAAACAAAAAACATTTATCTGTATAAATTGAATATATATCTAACTTAGATAGTTCAAAGTTAACTTATGATTATCTCTTTATTCCAAAGAACAACTAATATTAAATCTCAATTATATAATTTATCCTCTTCATTCAAAATGAACTAATCTCAAACTCATTAATTAAAATCCAATAATTACCTCTCTTTGTTCAAACTTATAACTCTTCACTCAAACCTATTAATACTGTATTTTAAAAACAAAGTAATATCAACCCTGTTTAATTCAAACATAATCAATAATCATCTCTAATTGTTCAATCCCAACTAATGTCTAGGCTTCTTAATACAAACAAATAATAATTTTTAGTTATTTCTTATTTATAAAAACATCCACTCTCTATGCTGTTTCAATCAAACTAATCTGTTTGAGTAAAAAATTAATTTATTCTGCATTTTTCACACCAAAACACAGTCTATCCTGGAAATACCTCTAAAATATTAAAGTTATTTCATTTTTGCTTAAATTAGGTTCTTGCTAAAAAAAAGGACATAAAAACCTGTCATCCTTTAGAAGGTGACATATAAAAAAAAAGGTATGGAAAATAAATTAGTCATCAAGTAAATTTAACTCTTTTATTACTATATTAATAGTCAATTATCCTATAGATTATATAAAAATATTGTCCATTTCAGGCAGAAATGAGTTATAAAAGAAACTAGTTAAATAAAATACTATTTGATTAATTGCACTGTTCTTAAGAAAATAATACTAACTTGTAACTTTAGTATACGTTCTGCTGCCTCAATTTTCTCTCTTTCCAGATCCGCAAGCCTCATTCCCATCTCCTGTACCTGACTTTCAAACTGCTTCTTCTTGCGATCAGCCTCTTGCCGAGCTGCTGTAACAGCTTTTAGTTCATTAGCCATGTCATTATTTTCTGTTTGTAAGTTGGCAGTCACTTTATCCAGGGAAGATTTGGCCTGTAGAACATAATGGTGTTAATAAGTATGAAAGTCCTGTTTTTGTATAAAACTATTAAACAACAATTTAGTATATCAGTTTGCCACACATCCACTCAAGCAAAAACTTTTCAAATAGATCTAATTTTTATGTTGGAGACTTTTAAATGATTACTTTTAGTTTCATAGCTGGTAAAATATTTGTTAAAATTAGTACAAGAAATTCAGTAAAGCTTATCGAAACAAGTGTGATGTGTAAACATATTACACTTAGAATATTTGAAACTAAACACAGAGCAACAAAGTCTGCTTAGCTAAATTATTAACTGACAGATGGATCATTAGATTGAATTATGGATGCAAATTTCTGTTGATAATAATAAAGATCAATTTACAAATTTAGTTAAAAAAAGAGCAACTCATGGAATAAAGTTTAATCTATTATTCATCTGTTTAGTTGTTAAATCAATAAAGACCTTTTTAACTGCTTCAAGCTGATCATTAAGTTCTTCTATGGCACGATTATGTTTCTGCCGGATCTCACCGATCTGGTTTTCGTGAGTGGAAGCTTCATCTTCTAGGGTTTTCTTTAACATAGCCAGTTCTTGTTCACGCTTTGTCCTAAGATCTTGCTGTGCTGCAGTTGTGTCCAGTGAGTCCAGCAGTTCATTTTTCAGAGCCTCCAGTTCCTTTAAAAAAAATATTTTGTTAATTTTGTATATCATTCATTTAATTTTAAGCACTTTTTTTTTTTTATAAAATCAATATTTCAAATAATTCTCTTTGATAAACCATAGTTCATCCAACAACAAATGTGAAAAAAAAATTTTCAAAACGATGGGCAATACTGACTGTAACAATACTTATACTAGTTCAGTCATCAATACCATGATACTATAAAAAGGTATAAAATAAATAAATGAAAATTCCCGAGTTATTAGTAATTTGACAAATAACCAATGGAATGAAGAACTTGCTAATGCAGTTTAGTTTACTAGTAACACTGGTTTTGTTATAGTATATTCTGTAGAATATTGTAGTCCTTCAAGAACAATTATTGATGCAGACCAGTCGCAAATGATAAGGATAAAGTACTGTAAAATCTTATAATTTTATGTCTTTTAGTATCTGAAATAAACATTTTTACAATATATACAATAATTTTATTTTAATTGTTTGAAGTTAAGCTCAAAGCTACACAATGGGCTATCTAAGCTCTGCCCACCATGGGTATCGAAACCCAGTTTCTAGCGTTGTAAGTCCACAAAAACATACCGCTGTGCCACCGGGGGGCAATATACAATTATTAACAAATATGATACATTTTCCCAGTGCTAGACCTATCTCTTTTTCCACAATATTTTTTCTATTTAGTGTAACAGACCAAATCCAAAATTCGTGGATAACTACCTGCATGGTTAAATACATATAGTGGGGGGGGGGGTGGGGGGGGTTCTTCTCGTGGAGGTATATAGTACACAGACTCTACTAGTTACTTCCTTACCTCTATT